GAATGCCTCACAAAAGTTTGTGCACGACCCATTTCGAAGTATTTCCCCAAATGCTTGCTTTAGCATTTCATAGGTTTCCTTAGCCGTTTTGGCGAGTCTTTGGCAAAATTTGATGCACACGCCATTCCGAAATCGCAGGAGGGTCGGTGTAATGCACTACCAAAACGCCCGTAACTAAGAAACAAATGCTAATTCGATGATGCCGGCTGGCACACTGATTCACTATGAATGTAGGCCGCACCCCCTAAAGGCAGAAGCTCGTACTACATCCGGTTCGCCCTGTATTGACACAGTCTTGAAACTTTCCGATCGCACCTCGTATCTACCTTAGATTTTGCGAGGTGTCGCAGCTCAGAAGAACAACACTGACATCTTTACTACTGTGAGAAAGAACCTTAGTTCTCCCAAATGCATGCAATTGTATTCTTTTCTAAGGTCTGGTATTGATAACTATAGTAGTTTTATTTGCAATGGCCTTTGAAAAGAAAATGGAAGTTCGAAAATACAGATCTGTAGTTTACAGAGAAAGTACATATTTGTTCAATACATCCAATATGGAGGAATGAAATGATGGATAGGTAACTTGATGTGGTGAGTTTGACGTGATGGACGTAGGAAATCTAGAGGAAGCACTCAAGGTCCATTTAAGGCGCTACTAAAAGAATGGCAAACACCGAGTACCGCAAACGGCACAACTACCTATTGGTCTTGTTTGCAAGATGCTAGAATGTATTAATTAGTAATGGATATTACTTGGAAGTTTATGCATGTTTAGAATATGGAAGTTGTATTCAGTTTGTTGGTAATTAATTCCAGAGGCCAAGAGCTTTACTTGTCAACTTCTTACAAGAACTGATATATTGCGTCTCACAGTCTCAGATTAAATTTTTTGTTTCAGAATTCCTGTTGTGGATTTCAACTTTAAGCGACGTAAGCGAGATGTAAAAGAAAATCTCATTTTAGCTGAAGATTATGTCGATGTTGAGGAGGATTTTGAGTTTGATCTTGGCAGTATCTTGGGGTATGACCTGTACTGCAATATTATAAACAGACTTGAAACTGCATGTATGCAGCACAGTTTGTTGGAGCTCTGGAAGTTTAATGAGCAGAAGATTCACAACTTAACAGAGGAGAAAATAATCAAGGCCTTAAACAGAACCACAGTTAGGTATGGGAGAAATATAATTCTCATGGCAACTAATATGAAGATGGCTGTCTTCTGGGTTGTGTTATGCTATGTAGTCTTGTAGACGTTTGCTGATTTTTCACAGGTCCTTGCTGCCTCCATCACCAGGGCAATCACCATGTTGATGGAGGCAGTGGAGGACGTATTGTTTTGCTTCAGGATGTATATGTCCATACATAAACCTCATCTCCAGTTGAGCTAAGAAAGTCAAGGGATTTTCTCTGTTCCTAATGCAGTGCAAAATAATTTGTTAAGACAAGGATTCAGGGCTTTGAATGATATGAAGCAGGTTTCTGTAGAATATTGCCTTAACTGCTTCAATGTTGTGGGTTGAAGATTGGTGACATGGAAGTGAACATCATATTTAGGGTTGGATTCAAACCCATGGCCATACAGTATGAAGCAGGGGAGAAACAATACAGGGATATCCAATTAATGAACAGTGAATTGTGGCGGACACAGCAAACTGACATTTATTTTTACTAGCAGCAAAAGGGTTAAAATAAATCACAATAACTTCTAATTTTATGGGCATCTGAGGAAAGAGTTTATGCTGTGGATACCCCTTGCATGTCATAACCCTGAAACGAGCATAGTAATTATCTTCGTGTTCCTCGACACACTATGCCCCAGGCAACAGACATTTGAAATTATGTAAACTGGGATAATTGGTTCAGAAACAATTTTATGTCATGACGTATATTTATTACTTCTAACTCATGTCACACTGCAGGAAACAGTCCTGTGTGTAGGATTTTAGGTTCTCATGGTGGCAAAATTCTACCAGACTACGCAGCACTACAACCCAGAAGACAGCCATCTTCAGTCCTCTATATCTTCAAATATGATACGAATGATTTGACTGGCATGCAGTTCGATGTCTCAGAGTTTGTTCTTTCAAATGATTTCATATCTCCGTATCTTACTGTGTATACTCGGTGAAATTGTAGGTGGACTTCAGTAAGGCCGTGGATTAAGACGGAGTTTATTCAGGTTCAGATTTTATTACTGAAATTTTCTTATATTTTTACTTATGTTATGTTTCCTTCAGTCCTGTTTATGGACATCCCACAGACTACCTGCAGCTCCTGGGTAATGTCAGACGAAATGAGACGGGGCACGTTACTGGGGCTTCTGCTTTGTTGTCACTTTACATGGTGCATATTGACTTCATGTCTGTCAACTTTGATGAGGATGGGAATGAAGCAGGAACAGCTGACTGGGTATGAACAGTTTTTCTTGTTTGGCTGTCCATTGGTGACAGTACACATGTCTAACCTGAAGTGAGTTACTTGCAAATTGTGAAGTCACGTGGTGACATTTTGTGAACAAGGTTGAATTTAATCTTATATTAAATTAAATTTTCAAGACCAGTTTTTTGCTCATTGGTGCATATGTAATTAGTGTTGCAGTTCCTGGACCAGACGATTGTTGATATTGAATGGAAACGCGTTGAATAACGCGTAACTTCGGCTTTTGGGCACGAGCCAAAGTTATACGTTGAACTCCAGTCATGAAAACAAAGGACAAGATTTACACTGTATTATCTTGGACTTCAGTGTTCCATTAGACATTGCATGGTTTTCAAAATTGTTGTTAATTGTTATAAAATGAATTTATTGTTTCAGGCAACTAAACCAATTTTGAAATGGGAGCAGAAATTCATGGACATGATGGAGGATGTGTCCAAGCATGCACAAGGAATTGAAGTGTTCTATGAGGCAGGAAGAAGGTATGGCGATACATTAACTTGAATTCAGTTGACGATTTGAAAATGTCATTTTGTTACGGTAATAGCAAGCAATAACCTGTACCTTCAAAATTATGGTGTTTCGCAATTACAACATATGTATGAATAGAACATTCTTTCTATTTAACAATTGTTCTCTCCCTAAAAATATGTTAAACTTTCCTGTAACTGCTGTGAAATGAACATATTCAGTACTTTCTACTGTTCCACAAATATATGCAAGCAGCCATACTTATGTTGGGTGCGTACACTTCCTTGCTTCTCTTCATGTAACTCACTAATGTATGTGCTCGTATGTAACACCTTCTGCTCCTTGTACATGGCTTGATCTCAACTTTAAGCGTGATGTCGCATGTCTTTACTGTCTTTGACCTGAAATTTTCTTCAGGCACTATCCACAGTGTAAAAACTAGTGAATGCTTACATTTTCAGTAACAGTGTTACAATATGCTTAAAATTTGTATATATAGGTTGTTTAATGTAGAATGTACGTGTTCTGCTCAGGAATATACCATGTTTGCACTTTCCACAATTTTGTGCAAATGGCGTGAGTAGCAGCCTAGCAACCAGGGTGACTTTGTCTAGGTATTGTATTGATGGTCGGAAATCAGCAGCAGCAGTGACCATTCCGTGATTGATCAGTTATTGTCTCTGCTTTGTATTAGAGGCGTAGGGTTAAAATAAAGGCCTGTGCACTGGCTCTCCTGAAGTTTTTCAATTTTCATCTTTTGTCTCCAGGAAATGTTATGATATCACCTTGGTCACTTGTCCACTTACTTCCACCTGATCCTAAATAACTCTGTCTGCCATAGCCAGCAGAGTAAATGCCTTCTTGTTTACCTGATGATGAAGGAAGACCCACCCTTTGAAGTGTTACGGGTTTTTAACTTTCAAAAAGGTTCATCAGATGATGCACAAATCCAAAACAAAGCAAATAGGATTTTTCCTGTTTTTCTGCAGTACCTTCCATAAACATTTCAGATGATATCTTCAAATAGGCCACAACACTTTCAAATCCTTCACTGTTCATTCATGATCACCAACAGCGTCATTAAACAAAACATTTGTAATTAAAAGGGCTTTTAACTTATAGAAAGACCACAGTGGTTTAAAGTGTTTACTTACCGAAATGAAATACTTGGACTTCATAGTGTTTGTGAGTAATGCTAGCATTAACCAAGCTCGATCACAGCTCAAAATGAACTGTTTTCTTCTTGGCACAGCCAAAACTGTGACAGGTCAAATGTGTGAGTTTCGTCAGATTGTTCAGAAGGTAGAATGTAGGAGCAGTTGTTTCCTTCAAACACTGTTTTGATTTTTCACAAATGCCACTTCTTGTCTTTGTTCTGCTGTTGAGTTTTGAGCTTATAGTATTTGTTTTCAATTTTGTTAAAGTGTTTGACCTTTGCTGTCTGAAATGGCTTCATTATTAATAGCTCCCATATTAATTTTTGTGCTTTTTCGAAGTGAAGATAAACTGCTTTAAATATTTTAGTAGTTGTTTGTAAGCATGTGTGGGTATACATACGTTCTTGACATCATATTCAATTAGTTTTGCAGATATCAGCGCTGCTTCCATGTTCCAAGATATCAACAAACTTATTGTTGGTATAATACTGATGTTCATATATGTACAGATAAATGTGTCTAAATTCAACATGGTGGAATGCAGGGTAAGTAGAACATAACTGTTACTTTTAAGGTGTCTGTCTTCTGGGTTGTTGCACCACGTAGTATAGTAGAAGTCATAGGTTCTTGCTGCCTCCAACATGAAGGTGATGAGTTCTTTACTCGTCACTCTGATGATGGAGGCAGTGAGCACCTGTGAAATGTGGTATCTTCTACCAGACTACATGACACAAGGACGGAGAAGACAGCCATCTTCATACTTGCTGCCATGATAACCTCAAACGTCACTCCTTATTTTTAAGTTCGCTGTTAGGTTAGGTTTGAATTTCCTCTTGTGTGCGTGTGAAGGAAAACGGTAGAATCAGTTCATAAGAAATGGCAGTCCTGCGCTGTAGCCGCGCGGTCTGAGGCATCATGCTTCGGACTGGCGATATGGAATGCGCGGTGTTTTGAATCTCAGGGGAGAAGAAATTTTCTCACGAGCCTTCGACCAATGTATGGGGCCGGTACCAACCCAGCATCGTGAGGAAATTTGGGAGCTACAATGAGTAGTGTAATCCGGTCATGAAAGCTAGCAATGGCTGGGGGTTCGTCGTGATGACCACACGTCACCCTGTATCTGGTTGGATGATCGTTCACCTCTGCTTAGGCATGTGATCGTGAGGCCAGCAGTCAGGCTAGTCGGCTTTGTCTCTCTGGAGCTGTTACGCCACGGATTTAATTTAATTTAAGAAATGGCAACAAGTTCTTCAAATCACGTTTTTGGGAGATCTTATTCAATGCTTTGTACTTAAATTATTTTTATCATATAGCCTAACATTTGAATACATTAAATGTGTGAAATTGCAGAATGTTTTAAGTTGTTCTTTTTTGTGACCGCTTAACTGATATTCCATAGTATGTCTGTCTCTCTTTCACTGAAAGTAAGTTGTCATCTTCATTTTTTCAGCTTATTCTAGGCAGCGTTGGATTACTGTGCATTTTGATGGCATTTGTAGTAGCATGTGGATTTTGTTCCTTGCTGGGTATATCATATGGACCAGTACACACAGCATTGCCATTTTTACTACTTGGGATAGGAGTAGATGACTTATTCGTGATAGTAACTTGCTGGAAGAATTTAAATGTTGGAAATAATCTGGTGTCTTTGCCAGAGAAGATGGGACAAACAATGCGACGTGCAGGCGTCTCTATAACCATCACAACACTCACAGATGTTGCAGCGTTCCTTGTGGGAGCATTGACAGTAAGTCATACAAATTAAGCAACATATGACCAATGGTCAACTTCTTTTATGAATGTTCTTCACATATCCTTGTGAAAGCAATGTAATGATGACTGAAAACTACTAGTATAATCAAATTTTTATTGTTTGCAGTATTTTATTAACCACTTCAGTAGGCCATGCCATAGCTTATGTGGTTAGTTGCCTGCTTCTTGGGCTCAATCCCAGAGCAGGCCATGTGAGATTTGTGGTGGCCGCAGTGGCACTGGAGTGGATTTATCTGAGGTCACTTAAGTTTTCAAATGATTAAACCAACTGTCTACACAAAGCAGACTTTACCATATTCAGGAGGGATGTTTGTAATTTCCTGGAGAAGGAACTGTTGTATTTTTATAGTTTTAACAATTTTATGTTGCAGATTTTACCTTCCCTGCAGTCATTCTGCCTGTATGCAGCTGCTGGTCTTCTGATGACATACATCTTCCAAACGAGTTTCTTTGTTGCTTGCTTTGTGTTAGATGAGAGGCGTATCAAAAAGAACCGTAACTGTGCGCTGATATGCTACAAGCACAGGGACTATAAACCTAACCCCTGCAGTGAGGTTGAATATTCCAAGCCGATCTTGTACACAGTGTATTCAAAAGCAGTGTTCACTAAGCCAGGAAAGGTGAGTATTTGTGTTTAATTTTCTGTGCATATATAAAGATTTCCAGTAGGTTGAACACAATCTGTTATTTCTTACATTCCATGGACATTGCCATAATTAAAGAACTGGAACAGAACTTATTGGACGTGCATGTATAATAACAGACATTTACGTAGTTAGATTACATAAAAAATAAGATTACCTTACCAAATGGAGTCACAATTATAATATCACTGTATTATTTAAAAGGTCATTTGGACTATACTGGATGCCATCTGCTAAATAATCTTTAATTGGGTGGCTCTGAATTAATGTCGACCAAGTGCAAATATTACACACTTGAAGAGTTTTATTCATAGGTGTAATTAATCAAGCCCATAGTTCCAAATTGAGGCAAAAATACAATGAGTACTGTCTCATTTAAGTGGGTTTATGGAACTGAATCTGTCTATAAATTCTTGTTTTTTTAACAAATTCCATTGTACTTGATATGCTTTACTTCTTAGTGACCTAATTATGTTTGTTTATTCCCTAGTTGCTTGTGATCTTATTAACATTGGGATTTGCTGCAGTTGGTCTCAGAGGAAGCTTGCTCTTAAAGCAGAAATTTGATCTTAATTGGTTTTTGGCTGAAGATACACACCTTTACAAGTTCAATATGGAGAGAGCAAAATTCTTCCCAGATATGGGACACAATGCTGGAATTTATTTTGGAGGACTAAACTACAGTGCAGAACTTCCAAATATCCACAGACTTGTAGCACAATTAAAGCAAGAGGAGAACATTCTTAAAAATCTGGAAGAATGGTACAGCGAATTTCAGTCATATGTTAAATTGAATTTAAAAAAAGGTTTGTTCACAGAAGTTTGTACTTGTGTTCTGTATTGGCTAACAGAAAGCTTCAATATCATAATTTTGTTAGTACATCTCCTTTACATTTGGAACTTCCCCTTATTTTTTTGGTTGTCAGTGATTATTCTAGAAACATTATATGCTTTTCCTAGTTGCTATTTGTTGTAATGGAAACTTTAAAAAATCTTACATATCTGAATACTACTTTTCACTAATCTAGTAGTACATATTTAACCCACTAAGATTTTTGTTTATCCTTTGTGGTGAATACTTTGATGTTGGACAGTACTTTGAGGGTCACCATGACCTTTTCTTTCCTTATCCTTTCCAATTCTTCATACATTATTTCTTTTGTAGTTTGATCATAAATAATGTCTATAGTTGATTTTATTTCTCTACTGTACATTGAATATGGAATGTAGTTTGTCACAAATGCTTCAGTGGTAGAAGTGAAGGACATCATCAGTTCTAGCTGAGCTGTATCTCTGTGGATATGCTTAAAATTTTATCGAATGACAGCAGATTTTCCTCATTTCACATTATGGGAAGTGTCGGAGAAACTGTGAACTATAAATCAAAACTTGCCTTTCTGAAAACGAGTCTGCTTATTTTGTGTTCCAGACATATCTACAGATATTATATCTGATGATGAATTCAGTATTTACATTTCAAAGTATTTGTTTAGTCCACATGGATCGAAATACCAGAAAAACTTTCGTTTTGATGGAAAGCTGCTTTGTGGACAGCCTGCACCACCTGTCACTGTAAGTGAGGAAGTGCACGGAAGTAAATATCATTATTGCTGTGTTAGTAGTAATAGTGTGTTTCGTGCAAGATTCAACAGCATGCTTTAGTGTTAGTGGTACTGAATATGTAGGGTCATAATACCAGAGTTTTTGTTACAACTGGTAGTGGTGATGGTATTTTTGAGATTAGTACAGTACAGTAGTCCTCTTAAAGAAACATAATGCCATAATACCAACTGCACTGCCACTCTGTATGAATATGATGTTGCATCCATCATAAAGAATATCTTAGTCTTACGAGATTTTGCTTCCAGTGGTGTCATCCATAAAAAGTCAGATCTTTAATTCCTGCATTTCCATGCTGGAATTTCATGTAATTATATTTCTCCCATAAGAAAATAGTGAAAGTAGTTCATAATTTACTTATTTGTGTAAAAGTTTTAAATGTATTTAATAATATTGTATTCCTTTTTTAGATTATGTGAGCCCTTCCCACTAAGAGTAATGGCTTTTATCCTTGTTACATTGTAGTTCCCTTCTAATGTATGTGACCAGTCCAATAAGATCTGAAACACGCTCATTGAATTTATTGCATGAGGATTTTTTTATATACTACTCACCGTCAAGTATTGCCAAGATCAAGAGATTGGAGCTATACCTCCACTACCCCAAATATTTTCATGACATGGTGCTTAATAAGCACCAAGGACACCTTTACCTTTTCTGTATGTTGTATTTATAGGTTGCAAGCTTTGAGTTCAAATTCAGATTATTTGATGGCCCTGAAGAGTTTCTTCCAGCAATGCACAAAGTGAAGAAGTTGCTATATGAATCAAATTTTACCACCGGTGACAGATTTTCTACAGTGTGGGGTAAAATTCTTGCTAACTGGGTTACTGATGAGGTGAGCACATAAAAAAAGTGTTTATCTTAATGAAAATTAAATCTGACTTATTTATTCATATATACTAGCAGAGGAACAATTTTTGGAAGCTGAAACAATATATTTATGAGTAAGGTGTTTTATTTACACATAGAACTGTTTGCTTCAATTACAAGTTACATCTCAGAGCATTAGTCGTAGTTTGGTTGGATTTCAAGTGCAAAGAAAAATGTTAATTTATATTCAGGAGTTTATATGTGTGTCGGTTTATTACCATCACTAACATTTTCTTATTCCTGATCACTGTTCTTCTGTATCCATACTTTGACCCTTTTCCAACTAGTCCTTTCTCTACCATGAATCGTGCATGTTGTTCATCCATCTAACTCTTGGTCTTCTCCGTTCCTGATAGCATCCGTTCATGCACTTGTTTGGGTCATCAATGCCATCTTTTAATATGTCTGTACCATATTAAGTTTATTATTTTTATATAATTCAAAATAGGAGTTTATAAACCCATTTTTCTCTAATTAAATGTGTTGGGATTATGTCTTTCTTGATTTTTGTGCAGATTATACCCAAAAATCCATTTCTACTGTCAGTAATTTTACCTTGTATAATATGCCAGTTTTACAGATAGTTTATGTGTTTGAAAGACAACGCATTACTAAAAATGTGAAACAGTACAACCATTAGCATTCAATAAAATGAGAAAAACCAAGAGAAAGAAAGTGAAGTTGTCATGAGAGGTCTGCCTCTTCCCCCTTAAATCTGTTTAACTTGCAGCAAACTAAATTTAAAATCTGTTTGTACTATATTATTAACATTTGTAACTAGAAGCATTTTGCTTGAGGTATGGGCTTAAGTTTTTAATATTAAAATGAGATTTGTGTTTTTCTCAGAGACAAGTAAGGATTTTCCCATTCTAGGAAATGTTATTTTGTAACAAAATTGATAAGTAAATTGAATTAATGATTATACTTTGTGTGACAGGTAATAGATACGGAGTTGTATCGCAACCTGGGACTGGCATGCATTTGTGTGATGGTGTGTACAATGCTGCTGATCGTCAATATTGTAGCATGTCTTTTTGTGTTCTTCTGCGTACTTCTTACTCTGGTGAGTGCAAAAAAACTCAGAATTCACTATAAATAATTATGAGAAGTACACTTCCACTAATAATAATAGTTCATTAAATTAGACCTGAGTAGGTGTACAAGAGAACAAAGTTACATTTGTGTAGTTGATCTCTACTGTAAAGTTTTTCTCCACTCCAGAATATTGTGTGTAAATATTTGTTGTAAAATTTTGTATTCCAATGTGAAGAAATTTATTTTTTAAAATAAAAATTGATGGGGTTCATCTCCAGTTATGCTGTGGCTGTGAATTGATTTTCAGGTGTCTGTAGGAGGGTTCCTGTATTATTGGGGTCTAACAATTGACACTACTACCTGCATTGGGCTGCAGCTAGCAACAGGCCTTTGTGTGGACTATGCTGCTCACATGTGTCTCGCTTTCCTATCACAGACTGGTTCTCGATCAGTGAGGGCACTGAAGACAGTGACAGACATAGGACCTGCCATTTTCAATGGTGGAATCTCAACATTACTTGCACTTAGCATGCTTTCACTCTCTCATGCATACATCTTTACATCTTTCTTTAAGGTTAGTGTGTGATGAAGCAATGAATGTAATATGTTGTTACAGTATGGTGTAATTTTTGTTTTTGTCAATTCTGAATGAAATTTTATGTAAACTTCATTTTTAACTCTTTAACACTTATCATTAATGGACTTACTGGCAGTCATTAATATAAATTCTTGCCTAATATAATTAGACTGATCTAGTCAAGGAGGATGGAATGGGCAGGGCATGTAGCCTGCATGGGTTTTGGTGGGCAGATGGAAAGAGATCATTAGGAAGACCTAGACATATGTGGGAGGATAATATTGAAATGCATCTTAGAGAAATAGAATAGGGTTGTATGGACTGGATTCATCTGGCTCAGGATAGGTGCCAGTGGCAGGCTCTTGTGAAAATAGTAGTGAACTTTTGGGTTCCATAAAATTTTGGAAACCTCTTGACTGTTGGCTTCTGAGGAAGGACTCGGCTCCATGGAGTGAGTAAGTAAGAAAGTTCATTTCATCAGAAATTTTTATAATTTAATAATACATATGTTTTGGTGATATATGTAGTACAGTGTGGCCCATGTAACTACCTGGCAGACAATATATATGCTACTGACCACGTGCAGTTGACACAACCAAATGCTCCTATTCAATTTGTCTGTACTTGCTCTCACAGAGAATATGTTGAATTGTTAATTTATTATGAGGCTTCATATTTGAAGATACATTGTTTAAAATGAAACTATACAGCATAAAAGAATACATATTTTATTCTATTCTCTTGCCATATTTTATACATCTGTAAGCTGTCATTCAATTTTTAACAGATTTTTTCTGTAATGAAAAATGACGTTATAGTCCTTTCAGACGACATTGTAATCACATTGCTTCCTGATGCAGGTTTCGTTATGCAATGTTGCTTTGCTTAGTTGAAAGCATTTTATCAGGAAAATTTATTTGAAAGGACTAAAGGTTAGAATGAGTTGAATTCGAAACTGAAGAATTTTCCATTTCTTTTCAGATCTTCTTCCTAGTCATACTTTTCGGCTTGTTCTATGGCACCTTGTTCTTGCCAGTACTCCTCAGTTTCATCGGGCCACAACCATATGAATCATCACAAGTCACAGAGCCACAGACTGAAGCAGTTAAAGTGTACAGCCTTTGTGATGCAGAACCTAGTTGATGGTAACTTGTAAAACTATCATATAAGCTAAAGTCACCAGAAGACATGGGTCAGTGGTTAAGTTCTTGGCCCAGAATTGAACTATCCTAAGTATTTTGTGACCTTCCTATGTCGCACAGGAAAATTCTCAGAACACGTTAAGATACGTGTCTTCTGGCTTGTAGAAGTTTACCAACATTTCAGATATACTTGGTGCCTCCATTATCGGGATTATACCATGCTACATGGTGCTACAACTCAGAAGATATTCTGATAATGTAGATTTAGTAAGGAAGTTTTCATGTTAATATGATTGACAGTGGGTCACTGATGTTAACATAATAAACTTTGACCAGGAAAATAATGAAATCTGTATAATTTTATTGAATGAATATTTATTAATATCATCACTACCAAATTTAAAATAGTGCTGTACTTCTTTACTGACTATTGTGAGAAAGAATCATTATATAGTGTGTTCACTAATAAACGAGATTGCAACTGTCACGGAGACATAATTTTCAACACTTCTTATAAAAGAAAAATGTGATTTTATTGTTTCTGTGGTATGATATGTGGCTCATATTGGTAAGGTCATGATGTGCTTGACAGTGACTCATGCATTTGGTGCTGGAAGTGACACTTGTGATCTGGTTTATCAGTGAAGGCACTGTATTTGATACAACACAGAGACACACATGAGAAACTAATGTGTCAAACTTAAAACATGAGAAGTTCCATGGCTCATCTTCATCTCACCGCCTCTGCCCCTTAGGGTGAGATACAGATTTCAGTGCTAAGGATTAAAAACTCATCTTTTACCAGTCT